CTGCTTATCTACCAAATAACAGCAACAAGTCCAGGAGGGAAATCCAGACATCCCTCTCCCCAGTGACAATCTCCAAGGCGTTCGCGGGCCAGAGAGGATATATAATCCATCCTGTGAATTCTGGGTCTGTCCCTGTGTCTCCTCCCAGCGGAACGTAACTGGAAAACCTCCAAATGGACGCATCTTTTTGTTATATCCTGCATGTTTTAACCTCTTTTCCATAGAGAAGTGTTCACATTTAAAACAAGATTATTGGCAAAGATGGATTTGTTTTATTCGCTCTGTGGATAATTCTCTGCCGCATGCATGAGATAAACCAGACATTCAATTTGCAAAAAAAAAAAAAAAGGGTAAAACTATAATCATAAGTTCATTTTTCAGCTTCAATCAACAAATCAGTGTGAAATTTCAGTTATGACTTCATTTTTTTTTTCCACCACAATTTTTCTGTAAGGCAATTTTATTATTTTTTTTAGAGGATCTCAGCAGACAATAGGGTCGAAGTGCAAAAACAGGCAACTGCAGGTGAGACCTGTGGCTATCTGTCATCAACCCATCAATCACACAGAAGCACCATCCTATGAGGAACATTTGCCATTAGGCATGCAGCTGAACCCTTAAATCAGCTTTAATTGGGACGCTGAGCAAGAAGCATGGTTGAAAGGTGTGGGAAACAGAGTCTGTGAACTTTATTGCAGACTAAAGGACTGTAGGTTTCGGTGGCAAAACTGACTGTTAAGCTACAGCTGGTTCACTTGAAACAATGCCTTAAGTGTTAAAAAAAACACATTAAAAGTGACTAATTCTTATCACTTTACAAAACCATATTTTATTGGAAAAACAAATTTTGTGATGAGAATTGAGATCATCTGCAAAACCTATGCATATTAGAATAGAATAAAATGGAATATGTTCCTATTCTTGTTTTTGAATGCTATAAAGAGTTGGGGAAATTATTTTTTTGTCTCCCAAGTAAACATGCAAGTGCATATGTATAACATATTGTATAATGTTATTATATTACTTTAAAAAAATATTAATACTATACAGTACATGCTGACATTATGGCACTGTGTTTAAAGCTTTATTGCACCTCTTGAACCATTCGCCGTCTATAGGCTACTAACGTGTAGGTTTTACAGATAAGCACCACGTTCAGCACAGGAGCCCACTCTCCTTGGTGTTCGCTACAAATAGTTCTTTTAACACTGAAAATTTATTGACAGCTTTTAAAATAATACTTACCGGTTACTCTCCCACATCCCCTCCCTGTGGGCCCTGAGCCTTTAATCTTCCAACCTGTTCGTTAGATCATTTGTCTATCTCCTCTCTCTCGTTTTGCAATCATCTGGTGCGTTCACTCTCTGGAAGGAATTTATATGCAGTGTCTCATAATTTATATGAGGCAACCAAGTGGTAGAGGTGAACAGAGTATGAAGAGGCTGGGTGCAACGGACCATGGAAACGACCTCTCTCCACGTCCTTCCTTTCGTTTTAAAAAACAGAATTTACAGCTGATTAGCCTCCATTGTAAAGACAGGCCCCAGTTCACAGAAGGAACGCTTGAAAACATGAATGTGAGGCCAGACGCACAGACCCTTATAAAAAACATGTGTTCTCCCAAAGATGCCTCAGAGAGAGTAAAACTCTGCACATGCTTATTTTCAGCACATTGCAAAAGAAATGGACGCATTGGAGTGTAAGAACTTTAGTGTTCTTAGAGAAAACATGTTTGAAATGTGTCAACATGTTGAGTAATTTCACTTTCTATTTGCAAGGTGGCCTAAGTTAGCAGATTGAGAAGAAACTAGCAAAACCTCTCCGTTTCCCCAAGCTCACTGGGGGGTCACTTTGACATACACTATCATTAGCTTGCAAGATGAAACAATGGCACATTATTTTTTTTTATTTATTTTTTTATTAAACCTTTATTTAACCATAGTAAAAAAAAACAAAAAAAACATCAAGACCTCTTTCACAAGGGTGACCTGGCCAAGACAAGGCAGCAGCACACGTCATAATAACAAGACAAGTAACAAGATACAGAATGGGACTTAGAAATATGTAAAAACATAATTTGTACAATATAACAGTAAAGGGCAATAGCTGTAATAATAATTAAAAACAATGTCAATTTAAGATCTGAAACACAGGCACTGTTGACAAGATATCCACTCTTGTTTTTTGTTTGCAAAAAGCACTAAGTTCTGACAATATGGATCATTTTTTATGTTTTCTTTCAGCTGCTTCCTTCTTCAGGGGTCGCCACAGTGAACTAAGTCACACGAAGACTTGGCATTTGTTTTTGCACTGGATGCACTTCCTGATGCAACCACAGACCACCGAGCTACCACAGCCCCCTGTGTGGAGCAGATGGTGGGGGTTAAGGGCCTTGTTCAAGAGCTCAGAGTGAGGCAAATAAGGATGAAGGCAGGTGTGGGTGGTTCACCTTAACCATGCACCCACATTTTGATGTTGTCGGTCCAGAGGATCAAACCACCTTTGTCAAACAGAGAAAAAAAAAACCCAGATATTAAGCAATTTTACGCGTGGCAAGGTAATAATAATAAAATTAATAATAATGTTGTTGTCAGTAACATAGAAATTTTAAAACATAAATGAAGACTTTTTTTTTTTAAGTTGAACTCGGTGAACACAGCATATTTGCGAATTATGACAATTTTTAGAAAACTTTTAACAACAATAACTATTGACCAACAAAAGTACCTTATTGTCTGACAACATCCATCCATCCATTATCTTTACCCGTTTATTCCATTTTGGGTCACGGGGGTCGCTGGTGCCCATGTCCAGCAATCACTGTGCGAGGGGCGGGGTACACCCTGGACGGGTCGCAAGTCCATCACAGGGCCACATAGAGACAAACGAGACAAAC